TTTTGTCTGCACGGCAGGCCTTCGCTTTACCAGGTTGGCTGGCGGATCTGGAAGCTCGGCTGCTTTTCGGGCTATTGTCACCCACGGAGAAGCAGTTTCTCGTCGCTTTTGAGGGAGTTGGTGGTAGGGTTTCTGCGCTATTTTTGTCACCCTAGGCACAGAGGTTTTCATCTGAGTACTTTCATTGGATAGGTTCTTGCCTTGGGGATTTGCGGCATTGACGTTGCCTATTGCAAACGCTGTTTTGATATATTAAGGAAATAATGACCCCTCAGTCATTGAGGTTGTAGAGCGCCTTGATTCAAGTAATTACCGAAGTAAATCTAAGTACAGGATTTACAGTCACGTGTGTACCAACAACGTCGCCTACTTGAAAGCCCCAATTATTCTAAATTCCAACACAATAGGTGAAATATTTTCTATTAGTGGCACGACTAAGTGCGCGCATTCAATTTCTGAAAAGGACTTTGCCCAGGCATCGATCTTTTTCAGAAAATTTTGCGCTACGCTCATTTGCTGCTTTTGTTCGCTTTCCGGTAGCTCCATTAAGGCGGCAATCCCCAGAAGGCTCGGGTGTAATAGGTCTCCTGGGTCAGTTGATGCCGAGGACGACGGCTGGCTGTGCGCAGCCATGATGCTGCTTGATTCTGCGGGTATCGATGAACGCATAAATTTAATTATTCGCGTGGAGGTGATGATAATGGAGTTATGATATGATATAATTATTATCGTGACCGGGTACTACCCCAGCACCCAGAGGGCATAGCACAGATAATGGAGTTATGGTTGTGATTATTGTTTACTTACGGGCACAACTGGCAAGGCGTTTGGAGATCTTTTATACCCTGTATTAGTAGTTCCATATTAGCGTGTAGCGAGAGTTAGGTCGTAGTATTAGGAAAGAGTGCTGAGAAGGAGTTGCAATGCACGTTGCGAATTTTGAACCCAATACTTTATCAAATCTACTTCCAGTAGTCCTATATTAGTTGTCTAAAAGAATCATATTCTAATACTGAACTTGTTTATATCAACAAAATTTGCATGGTTGCGCGCTGGCACGACGTAAAAAAATAATTATAATAAACAAAATCTGCATTCTCCCAACCACTTCTTCTAATGCCACCTCGGGCAATACCAGGCTCAGCTCCACAGGGCACAGAATTCTAATCCCAGCGTATCTTGGGCTCTTGCTTCGGCGGAGGGAGTTGATGCATTCAATAACTGGTTGCGTATTACAAATTTTTTCGAAAAGGGCTCAATGACAAGTCTGATTCGAACGAAACCACGATTTGATGTAGAAAATTTCATCTTTTCATTTTTTGGTAAAATCTTTTCTTCATTTAGTACCACCTGGATAGCATGATATTTGTTGGATTGAAGACCTCCATGTATACTATAATTTTCGAGCGCAGGATGATAAGATACTGGCTTTCATTTGCTTTGTTGGGTCTGTGTAGGCGTGAATTGAATTGAATTGAATTGAATACATTACGTATCAGGCTTATGCCCTACACCCAATAGGCGTGATACGGGTCTGTGCTCCCTGGGGCCACACTACAACCTAGGTACATAGTTTGCTTCTCAGAAACTATTTGTAGAAGACATAGATAATTAATTAAATTTCGAAAAAAAAAACGCCCTGCGCCTTTTCTCCTTCCTCGTGGCCCTTAGTCCTGTGGAAAATTTCCTCCGGCAGGACTTAATCCTCCCGGTTTGCGCTCTGCATCTCGTAACACTTAGTTACTGTTAAGAACTGGAGAAATTTACCCCCTCCCTTTTCTGCCAGCATCTCCCGTCCACTCGGTGGTGGTTCATGCTTCTCTTCTCTCCAGTGCCGTAGAGCAATCCGACATTCGGCAAAATGCCAGGGACGTTTCTCTCTTCCGCAAACGCATTTGCAGTTTTCCCATTCGTGGCCAAACCTTTCATGGTAGTTCCTAAAATCACCATGTCCCGTCCTCGCTGCGACCAAGTGGTGATGCGCCCACCTCGGAAGTGCTAGCTCTGGTGGACGTTTTCGTTTCATTCGGAGATCCAACTCCTCATAGCGGCTAGGTCTATATTTTAGCCACCAGGATTCCACCGCTTCTTCACACCTTTGCCTGACAAACCGGTTGAGGGCTGCGAAGGTGTATTTAAGTCCGTCCTTAATTGTTGAGGGATCTGTAGTCGTTTCAGCCGGGAGTTTCCTGAGGGCTTCCTTCGCCAGTCTGTCTGCCTCCTCGTTTCCAGTGATCCCTGAGTGGGCTGGTATCCACCTGATTTCAACTGATCTGGCTCGTCGTACCAGTCTTGTGAATATGTCTACCACCGCCTGAGAAGATTTCGTTCGACCGGTTTGAAGAGCTCTTGCGGCTATGGAGTTATCGAGGAGCACTTTTATCGGAGAGCTGCCCGCTTTTCCTATCGCTCCTTCGAGGGCTTTTTGGGCGCCAAAGATTTCGGCATCGTACACCTCCGCCCCTGGCAGAGGACCGGCATCACTCCCAATCATCTGGCCTCCTTTGTATAAGATGTATCCCCACGCCGATCTAGCAGGTCCACATGATGAGCCGTCTGAGTAAGCGCAAACTGTCTCATCCGACAGGCTTGCTATCCATTGCTTAGCGTGAGCTGCTTCTTGCTGCTTGTCACCGCCAGTGAGCTGTCTGATGGGCTCAGCTTTTGGGAAATACAGTTTGCCGGGGCCCTCGGCCATCGGCATATTTTTGGCGCTGATCTGAAGTCGCGTGAGGTACCTTTCTGGGCACTTGAATGGCCGGTTCCTCTGACCTATGCGGAGACCTAGGCGGCTTACTGTATCTTTTGGCTCCTCTGTAGACCTGAATGCTAAAGGATGCCACGCGTCCAGCCTTTGAATCCGTGCGGCAGCTAGAATTTTTCTCTGCTGTAAGATAATAGCAGATGGGGGAATACCCGACTCTCTGTGTAGCGCCGTTTTTGGTGTAGTTCGCCACACCGGTAGCGCAGCTCGAACTGCCTTCAAGATAGTGCTGTCGAGGAGATCGGTGTGCCAGCCTACTCCTGTGCCAACCATTTTGTCCCGCTGGGTTGTGATTCGGGTGAGACCTGGCCACCACGCTTCGGCTCCATATAGTGCCGTACTTAGGACACAGGACTGCACTGCTTTAATCATCGGTCCCGGAGCTGCGCCATGCTGGACCGAATTTATCCGTCGTATAGACTGTGTTATACGTTGCGCCTTCCCGCACCATTCCTGAACGTGTTGCTTGAAGTTGAGTTGAGAATCTAGCCATACTCCCAGCCATCTCACGTACGGGGACGGGGCTATGCAGTGGCCTTGGATCTGGATAGCTAGACCTGCGGTGTTCAGCTTTTTCCTTGGCCCACCTCCAATTAACAGTAGTTCAGACTTTGCCGGGTCAAAGTCTATCTGGTTTTCGCTCGCTAATTGGACGAGTTTGTCGACTTCTTTCTGGGCTTCGGCCACTGCTTCAGACGCGGTGCTCCCTATGCTGAGTATAGCGATGTCATCAGCGTACCCGAATTTTGTGCTCTTGTTTCCGTCTCGCATCAAGATTTCGATGTATAATAAAAACAGAAGGGGTGATAGCGGCGACCCTTGTGGGATTCCGCACTCTGCAACTTTGTCCCGCGTGGTTCCATCACGGTGTCGCACCCTTATCCTTCGTTGGGTTAGAAATGATTCTATCCACAGGCAAAGTATCCTTGGCCATCCCTGATTCCGCAAACGATGGATCAGCCGTTTGTGCAGGACCGCGTCGAACGCTCCTTGTACGTCCAGAGTAACCATGGCCGTTACCTTCTTGTATCGCATTGCCGCCTCTACATCGTGTATGACGCAGGAGACCAAGTCAACTGCTGAGCGACCAGGCAGTGCACCAAACAGCTGTTGAGGAACGACTCGGTGCTCGATTGCTAGCCAGGCCATTCTCTTGGCTACAAGTCGTTCCAAACCTTTCCCAAGACAGGATAGAAGAGAGATTGGTCGCCACCCTTTAGCTGTTGCGAGGTCCCGTCCTGGCTTAGGGAGGAGGATGACCTCTGCAACTCGAAACATAGTGGGGAAATGTCCAAGCTGTAAACAAGCTTGAAAGAGGTTCTTCACTTGTTCGCCAATTTGCTCCCAGCACGCCTTGAGCAGCCGAACCGTGATTCTGTCCGCTCCTGGAGACTTGTCGCCTGTTCCAATGGTGCTCGATTTTACATCCTCTGTCGACAATATTGGGTTCCACGGAATAGTCTCTGGTTGTCCCGTCTCCCATGTGGAGAGATCGTGGGCTGCGTTGAATCTAGTCATCAAGATGTCCCTCAGGGTTTCTGCCCTCTCGAGAGGGTCTGATAACCATTTGTCCTCCGCGACCTTCAGAGGAGGAGGTTCTCGACATGGCTTGGGTTTAGCCCATTGCATTATCTTGAATACCTGGGTGTCCGTGATGGCATTCTCGATCTGTTTTCTCCAGTGTTCCCTTTTTGCCACTTTGACTGTAGCTCTAAACCTTTTCCGGGCCAGGGCTGCTTTTTCTGAGTCGTCTCTGGATTCCATGAACTCGAGGTGCTTTTTCTTGCACTCCTCATTCCACCATGGCGCTGATTTCCCGGCTATTCTCACTGGTTTCCGTCCCACTGCCTTGCGGGCATCCCCCAGAGCCTCCAGTAGGTTCGCTACTTGGCTTTCAATTTCCAACTCGTTGCGTATGGGGCCAGGCTTGGCCCAGGCTTTGACATACTGGGCGAATTTACCAAGGTCTTGGTCACGGACTCGCAGTGTGTAGGCGTGAACACGTCGGGTAGTTTAATTTAGACTGGGCTAACCGGTACCTGAAAAGCTCACGTGCTTTGCGCGGGCACGACATTAAATATTATAAATAAATAAACACTATCTGCATTTAGCAGTAATTAAAGTCGTCGATATCCAAACAGAACGTGTACTAAAGGGTGAGTTGGTTGTACTTTGAATTTTATCAATATCTGATGGGCTAAAAATAGATTTTCCAGTTGTCTTACTGAGTACTGTCCTACAAAATCGACTCGGGTTCTCGATTGGGAACATAAAATTCAAGTCCCCAAACATCAGGCATTACGTCTTCCTCACTACGATTTGGTTCCCGTCCACTGATGTAGCCACCAATAGACATTGGTCTAAGGCAATTCAGACTTCCGAACCCAATATTTTCTTGGGCGATTGATCTTTGGCTATCTACATTATCAAGATAATCCGATTCTTCTGAATTAGGATTTTGAAGGAAGAAACTGTTTCTCGATCCCCAGAGATACTTGTCAAAGTAAAGATGGAATAAGGAGAATGTCTTGAAGTTGTGAAGCATATAGTCATAAATCAAGTCTCCATTTTTACTCTCAGTACCCAGAGTTGTGAAGGGCATCCAGCTATTGCTTGAAGTTCTTTCGAATATGTGTATATGACCTTGGTACCAAGTAAGAACTCTTTGCATAGGGGCCCCATAATCATCCATGAATATTTTCCCTCGGTAGATAAGATCTTCTAGTGCAATTTTCTTGTCAATTTCGATAGCTATACTCGCTTTTAAGCCCGAAGGAATAAAGTTTTTATACTTTCCCTTCACGACAAGTTTACCTCTAAAGGCTAAGTTGGCCAAGACTTTTGGTGTACAATCTCGAGAATAAAAATTTGACCAGTAAATTTTAGACGATCCGGGGCTCAGTAGATTAAATTTGCCCATCATGTTCCTCTTTCGAAGAATTTGAACCAGGCAACTGTCCGCTGTATTGCGTGAGGTTTCAAAACTAGCTACGGCATCATTCGTTATATCGATCAGTTCATCACTAATTTTCCCAATGATTCTGTAATCGTTCCATCTGTGCGAGCAATACATCTGGATAAATGTGCCCTCTCTATCGACTAAGGTGTTACTCATAAATACACTTCTATCTTTTGGCACCGGAAATTGGCCGTCAGGAGGAAGTTTGAAGACACCATAATTGGGGTGTGAATAATGATTGACCGCGAAAACTAATCGATTTAATTCCGATGAATACTGGCCCGCGTAAAGAATAAAAGCGACGACGCAGACCATGAGATCAACTCGCTGAGAAGATCCTCCTGAATATTACTAATTGATGTTTAAACTCCTAATTAAGTTGTACTGTTTTTGGTTTAGATTTTGCGACGATGATTCTAATCTTCGGGGTGAGCGACAAGCAGCAAAATGAGGGGCGCGTTATTAGGGATTTCGGACGACAGTTGGAGGGAATAGAGAGTGATAATCATGTGATAGAAGTCGATCAGATGGCCGTCTTGCCGAAGCTTTATATAAATACTGATCGCATTCAATTTACATTTTGCATCTGTTTTACGAGTCGCACATGGTGAGTAGGTCATTTTCTGCACCGGAATTTGTCGGAAGACTGGCGTCCACCACGAGATGTGGAGTTTATGGACAAGGTTTAGTCTAAAGATTCCTCAAATTTTACATTAGATCATAGAGTGTAATTTAACATGATCCAGCGGACCGTGTTCAGATGGGGAAAATTGCAATCGTATTGACTTTGATAATCTTTTATGATTATTGTTCAGGCCCTGTCATTGTTGTTGTCGAACATTTGATACGACTGCATTACAATGGACTGTCCACGGTCGAAGAATTTTCAAGCGCAATATGATATGATTGATCTGTATCATCAATCATTGACATGAAGCATTCTGCAATAAATTACAAGAGTTGTCTATGACCGTAGGATTCCCGATATCCCTGCTTTCTCGGCTAGATTGGGAAACACGTCGGAACCATCACTAGGGTGTAGAAAGGCCCGCTTAAATGTGCTCAAAGCAATTCCTGCCGCGAAGACGTAGTTAGCACTTCACAATAGAAGAAATTATGCAATTTCCAGATTGTTCATGCATACGGTTGTACTTGAAAATGTCTATGAGCTCGCTCAATGGTCAAAGTTCTAACAGGAGAACTCACAAACGATAATTTTCTCAGAGCCATACCAAGCTCTTTCAGTGCACTTATCCCAACGGTACATCATACCAGCCAAGCATAGCCGTTAGATTATCACAACTAAGCGAGAGCCTCGTTTCTACCACATTGTAAGATTGTCCAAAATGCAAGGCTGTTAATATCACTATTAATCTTCTTTTCCACCCTAAAACCATAAAGGAAATATAGTTCATTTTTCCAGCAGGCCACCCCTACCCATGGGAGAGCAAGACTGAACAACTGTACGCAGTGTCCTCTACGAACCTAGGAGTGAAATATTCTTCCAGAGCCAAGTTCAGTCAAATTTCGCAATATCAAAGAAGTTGGCCCACGGGGCAATGATTCAAATTACTCCACCACGTCGTTTTTCCACTCCCAACTAAGTCTCATCAAGTCTACAAGTACGACCAAGTACATCCTCATCCCAATGACCACACCTCTCTTCGACCTTCTCTGGCCTCAGTTGACCACCAAATACACGCCCACGCCGATATTTATACCCGACGGAGGAAGCAAAGCGTGGCGCATAAATCTGGGAGACTATTCTTTGGGATTGGCATGAGAGGATTCAGGACAATTTGATAAGATGATTCAAAGGAAGGATATATAACCTCGAAGGGCGTGAAATTTCGAATTTTGACAAGGAGTTTTACGAATTAAGCTTTGTGCGCGCCAAGATTTCGCTTGCGAGAGTGCAGCTAACACTATAAACACAAGCAAACGATGGAAGGTGTTCTGGTCCGCCTCCTGGTGGTGTTCTCTGGTATAGTTTGAGTAGCCTGGGCACCTACTCCACTTGGGAAGGAGACATCTCAGATTACATTTCGCGCGGAGAAAAGTTGAAAGATGACGGAGGCATGTCTGGATAACTCAGGGTTTTTGAGACGTTCCCCTGGGTGGGTATTCACGGATGAGGGTTGAATTGGGGTGAAGAAAAAGCTACCATAACTTCGCAGTGGTACCTGCAAATGAAATCTGAGGCATGAGTACTTTTCCTGTAAATTGAGTCATCTTTTCTGTACTTTTCTTTGATATAGTGTCATAGCTAGATAGCTGCATACGCAATTAAAGCTTGATGCAAAAAAAACCCCCCTACCCATGTCTAAAATAATTAGATAACCCTGGGTTAATAGATCTTTGAACAGTTAGAGGCACCGATAAATTGTGGTGATAACAGTAATGTTCACATCTGACATGACGAATCGAGAATTCTGGAAAGGCCACTTCTGAGCCTACGATTCTAAGTACACAAGGGTTTACACAGAAATCACTAGCTGAATTTAATAATGTTCAATTCTGGGTGTTCACATGGGTCTCCGGACGCAATAAACTTTTTAATTTAAGAGATGCTACCATGTATTCATAGGGAATTTACTGTCGATTGAATTTAATATTTTTTCACGTATAGTTGATGCAATGCTAAATTAAAGGTTCCAAATTTATGCAAAATTGTTCTTCATTTCAGGTTATCAACACTCCACAAATACGTCACCAAACTTCTGTGAAACGCCTTTTCATCAACAACTCCAGCCCACCATCAGCTACACCACTATAAATTCGATATTTGGTTTCGCCTCGCTTGCAGCATTTTATTGATATCAATATGGAATTTCGCATCCACTTATTGCAGCATTTTTCGACCAAAAACCGGAATTTCAGCAGTCTGAGAGAAAAATCTTTCGCCCCAGCCTTGCCAAGGCTCGACGCGTCATCACGTGATAAATCATTAGAGTCACGTGACCTTTTCATTAACTTATTTGAAGAAAAAAAACCCCCCCCATAAATAAATAAAAAACAAATAGATATACACATATATGTATATTATTTATCTGAAAAAAAATAAAAAGTTTAAATATGCAACCAAGCAAAGAAAAATCTCCTGTTTTGAACCCACCTTCTCTTGCAACCTCTATACCATCCTCACCACCAATTCTAGAAATGTCTTTGCTTTCATAACAACCTAGACTTGAATCATCTAGGTGGAGCAGTAAAAAATTATCTTTAATAACCTCTCCTTCACTCACTAAGGAAAATACAACTAAGTTCAACACCAACTTTTCTGATTTCAGCAGCGACCCCCTAACCGCCAATGATTTTACCTCTGGAATCTCACCAAACACTCATAAACCACTCAATAATACTAGGAAAAGACCATCTAGTACCTTACCAGACCCTCATTACCATCCATCAAAGCATCATAGGATCAAGAATATTTCAGGTCCTGTTCCATCTATTACTAAGCCAAAGACAGCAACAGGCAACATTTTAGAAGCAAGAGATCTTCTAGTTGAGGCTTTCAGCTTATCCAATAATAGATCAGAACAGCCTAATTTGCTTGATTTACTTGAAATATTCCGGAGGGTTACTGAAAAGGGTATCAATCAAGTATCCAGTATAATATCAGAATCATCACAGCCGCCACCACAATTGAACACCAATCAACCTTCAGTGATCATATCTCAGATGAAACCAGATGAGCCATCTAAACCACAGTCACAAAGTAATGCAACATATGCCCAGAAGGTCAAGGCAAATTTACCCCATAAATCAGCCACTGCATCAAACAGCATTATCCTACCACCTAGAATTACAGCTATGGCAGAATCTGAGTCAACCAAAAATAGCATATTAACCACCTCTTCAATAATAGATACAAGACCAGTGCCAAAAGTTGTGACCTTGGTTATATCACATGGCAGCTCTATACCATCTTATCAACCAACAAGCATTAGAGACCAGGTCAACAAAGCCATGTGTCAGGCGCAGGTTCACTGGGCGCAAGACTCGAGGTGTATGAGAGGGCGTAGCGTACAATGTACTGAGGAAGAACGCCTCGTGGGAACGCGTAGGGCTTTCTAGAGAAGTGGTAAATGGGAAAGCGGGGAGTCGTTCTAGATAGAGGGTCCGGAGGTGACGGTAGGTCACTAAGGTTGGCAGAGGACGAGAGTGAGATGTGATTAAAATAATGTAACTATTCCTTAAGACAGAAAACAAAGCGTGAAGATCTCAGTATCCGAAGTGAAAACTACATAATTATCCTCGCTAGGCAATAAGCCTAGTGGTGCTAAACAAGGAACCCATAAATCCTGCCTGAGGCATTTCTCCAGAATCCTTACACCATGGGAAAGGCTGCCATTTCTAGGGTTCATAATTCACCAAAAAATAATGTAGCATTAATTTGCTATATTTCTTCTCCAGGAACAAAGTAAATGGGAAGGAATATTTGGAAAATGGCCAATAATTCACATCTAAAAAGTTGAGAACTGGCCAACAGTTGTTATACATGGAGTACCAGTCTGTATACCAATCACATCATTTGCAAAAGAGGTCGAAGAGTTCAATCCCTCTATACATCCAAGGGGTCAACCTAGATGGTTAACCAAATCTCATGAACTAAAACATTCTTCAGTTGTCATGACTGTCCAGAATGAGGAGGAGAAAAGGCGGATTCTTAAAGATGGGATTCTCATTGGAGGACTTCTTCTTCGAGGTGTGAATTATCAGCCAACAGCTGGAAAAACATAATGCAGAAAATGCCTTAAATTTGTTCATCACCACATATTCTGTAAAAGAGCAGCTGTGTGCTCAATATGTCATGTGTTACGGTTTACCCGTTGTTTAAGCTTAGGTGAATACCTAAGTGCATTGTTGAGGACTCTGAGGATAAGACTGTTGGGATCGAAGCAATGTCATAGCACAGTGAATATGGGCAATGCGTAGCCGTGCGGTAATTATTCGACCTAAGGAAAAGGTATAAGCAACGAGACTCATAGAGTGGACAAAATGTTATAAGTACCTTGTAGCTGTAGCTAGATTTCTCTTCTTCATAGAGTTTATTAAATCGATTTTTTCATCACCAACTCGGTTTCTATCACATCATGGAAACCACTTCACCTCTGAACACTCATGTGATGCATGCAAAACTTCGGGTCCATGTCACCACCATGCCGTAAGGTGTTACAACTGCAAGGACACCAACCACCATGCCCAACAACACCAAGATTGTGAATATTACAAGGCTCTTTTATGTTAGGACAACTAAAAATCTGCCAACACAATACTTCTCGAGGAAGTGAGATCTTTCAATCACTCTT